GTGTGTAGGTCGGGAGCTTCGGGAGAATTTTCTCTTCAAAAAAAGTTTGTTTCGAGCGTATATTCTAATAGAGGGGTTTGTTGGTGACGCATAGCAAAAAACGGCACTCAATTCCGAGTTCGGACCAGCCCAAACGAGCCCGAAACGTAAATTGCGCAATGCAGTCCAAAGTCGCGACTCGCGAGAGAAAAGTTGCGACTCGTGAGACCAAAGTCGCGACTCGCGAGACCAAAGTCGCGACTCGTGAGAAAAACTGAGGCTAAATGAGCAGTTCCGTGTCGAAGTCGCAACTCGCGAGTTGAGGTCGCGACTCGCGACCTGGTCGCGACCAGTGTTTGTACTATTTATGTTACATTTTTCGTTATTGTTTTGTAATTCTTTTTCCCTGTTTTAAGTCTTTTTGTTAGTTTTTAGTTAGTTTTGTGTTTTATTATGTATTTTGTTCCATTTTGGTTTTTTTTTGTGTTTTTCGTGTGTTTTTTCGGTTTTTCTTCGTTTTTGGTGTGCAGGTTGAAAGTCTCGTGAGGAGTCGATTATAGATCGGGCAATCATGGTGGACTTATTGGCTACATATAGGAAAAACCGGAATTTGATTTCGAGTTCGGATGAATCCGGACAGAACCAAAATGCGAAGCCGCGCAAGTTACCGACCCTTTTAAAAGTTGAAAATTCCACAAAATTTGTATCCTGGGCAAAAGTGTGGTTTTAAAGCATCATTGGATAGAGGGGTTTGTTAGCTAAGCGTAGGAAAAAACGGAACTCAATTCCGAGTTCGGACGAGCCAAAACGAGCCAAAAACGTAAAGCCGCACAGTGCAGTCACGAGAAGGCCGCGAGTTGGCAACGATTTTTCTCACTTTTCTTCACTTTTCTTCCTTTTTCTCCTTGGTAGATGATGGTTGTTGATGATAGTGTTGACAATGGTTGATAGTGTTGATATTGGTATGCTACTTATCATCTATAAATACCCACTTCATTCATCATCCAAACCATCTCCTAAAAATCCAAATTTATCACAATTCTTTAATCCTTCCATTACTTTCACTTAGTGTGTTTCTAGATTAGTTCTTGTGTTGAATTTTGGAGGTGTTCTCCAAGGCTTGTACTTGTTCTGGTTTGGCGTGTATTTATTCTCAGTTTGGCGTTTGTATCAACTTGGATTACATGTAAGTTTTCTTTCTTGTAATTATAATTTGCAATGAATCTTATGTTGAGTTTATTTTTTTTTATATGAATAGCTAAATCATTAGCTAGGGGTAGGGAATAATTATTCCGGTTTAAGCTCGTTTATACGCATGTTGATAATTCCATCTTGACGAGTTGTTTTAATCATGAATTAATAAATTAAACTTGGTAAATCTTTATAACCTAAGAGTGACACTTAGGTTAATTTTATGATATAATCAAAGAGTGACACTTTGATTTGTGCTTGATATTGATTTATTAAGTTAAAGTTTGTTAATTTTGTGAATTACAATTTGTAGAACCGAGAGGGGAGGAGTTGTAAAAAAATAATCTATTTCATAACCGAAAGGGGAGAAATCGTAGAGTCCCGACTCCAGCTGAGTCGACATTTATATTACCTCGCCGTAGAGCCTCGACTCCGGCTGAACCCACACTTATATTACCTCGCCGTAGAGTCTCGACTCCGGCTAAGTCGACATTTATATTTCCTCGCCGTAGAGTTCCGACTCCGGTTAAGTCAACATTTATATTTTCTTGCCGTAGAGCCTCGACTCCGGCTGAGTCGACATCAAAATTTCATCGCCATAGAGCCTCGACTCCGGCTAAACCGACATCCATATTTTACTTGCCATAGAGCCTCGATTCCGACTGAGCCTATGAGCCACGTGGCCGCAATGCCATAAAACTCGAGCTGCGAAAAACGAATAAAACCCTATAACGGTAAACGTCCGGACAACGTAAATTTGTCTGGCGTAAAAAACAAACATGACCACTTTATGGTAATAAGTCCGAGTATTATAAATTGACCCGGCACGAGTAAAGCCCCAGTAGGGTAAATCGACCGAACAAATAAAAATTGTCTCGGCGCAAAATGAATGAAACCCCAAGCAGGGTAAGACGATCGGACAATAAAGAATTTTCCGGCGTAACTCACGAGACCCCATTAGGGTAAGATGACCGAATGACAAAAATCTTGTCCGGCGTGATTTACGAAACTCCAAACAGGGTAAGACGATCGGACAATAAATAACCTTGTCTGACGTAATTCACGAGACCCCATTAGGGTAAGGTGACTGAATGACGTAAATATGTCCGGCGCATGAAAAATAAGACCTCTTTAAGGTAATAAGTCCGGACAATGAAACTTGTCCGACGCAAAATGAATAAAACCCTATAAGGGTAAACGACCGACTAGCACGAATACGTTCGGCATAAAAATAAGCAAATCCCAATGAAACGAACGACCGAACTACACGGAGCCGTTCGATAAAAACAATCATTCGCATAACATGGAAGATTCAAGGCGCTAAGAGCATCGAACATCCATCACATACATCTATCATAAACTCACGCATTCATCACATGCTCTCATTACGCATACACTTATGCATGGCATAAAGAGCTCGAAGCTCACTCATGTTTAGTATCCAAAATGTATTCCTACGAGAAACAAGGCCAAAGACCGGATATCAAATTATCCGAACAGGTCAACATAAAATACTAAAACGATCACATAAATCAATTATCGAATCACCCAAATACGGTCAACTCAGAACCGCCAAGCAAATCATATCAGCAAGAGTCTTCACATAAAATCCAAGGGGCCCGAGTGCCCGCACAAATCCATACCATTACCATCTTTACAAAAGATGAACAAACTATTCGCATTGCACAAAACGCAAAATAGGGTACCAAATTACCCGACCAGGCCATATAGGCCCCATTCAATTGCAATTCCAAAGAATTGTCCATCCATTCCATTGATTCGCACTCGTCTAAATGTAGAAGAGCGCAACTAACACAAATTCGTCAGGCCAAAGCCTAAAAACAATCGACAAAGCGTACAAGGGTCCCAAAGCACCCAAAAATTTCATATCAATTCGCATTTACTTGCAAACGCCGATAAGATAAAAAGGTGATCTTATGTATCACGCAAACATCATTTATTATAGTATAAAGAGCCCCAAGCTCAAGAGACTACAAGCATAAGCACTGCCAAATTGTAAATAAACGCGACTTCAGAACAGTTCTGTTCAGAACATGTTCTAAACTCGGGGGCCTCTTGTTGGTACCCAATTTGGCTATGATTAATAAAAATACAACACATTAAAATATCATTTGTATTATTTTATTCCTCATTATTTCTTGTCCACTTGTTTGGCCATATATATACTTTGCTAGGATCATTGTGATAAAGAGAGAATCTCATCTTATCCAATGGAGATCTCGTAAGAGAGAGAGAGAGAGAGAGAGAGAGAGAGAGAGAGAGCAACATTCTTCTCCCCAAAAAAATATCAATGAAAAGAGACTGGATCTTCATTTTTTCTTCATCTTCATGCTTTTGATTACAGTTGAGTTCAATTCATATATTCTCTCATTAATACCATAAAAGTCACGGATAGAGCTTACATTCGTATTGTTTTTTGTACCGAATACTACTTAAATTCCTATTCGTGCAGACCGAACCGAGTATATATTCCAATATACAGTTCGAACACATTGTTGGTCATTTTTAGACATCAACACATACCTTTTACTTCATATGAAATTCAAAATTACATATTTTAATATATTAATAAACGTTTATTATTTATTTTTTTCTTATGTGATATAATAGAATTTCGGTATTAAATTTGTAAATTCAAACATTTAAAGGAAAAGATTCCAAATAATTTTTTTGGGTAATTTCATTTTATCTTGGTTTTCATTATCACATTTCTAACAAACTAATTAGTATTATATTTTTTTTATCTACATTATCTAACCGATTTTTTATGATACAATTAATATAATATCTTAACAAATTAATCATTTGTCTAACCGAATTTATCTCTCTAACAAATTTGTCAATTTTTTTAAAATTAAAATGGTATGATTATTCTTATGGAAATACTTATCAATATATTAAATATTTAGAAACTTTTTTTAAAAAATGCGTTATCCCTCCTTTTACTTTATTTAAAATTCTGACTTATATTTTTAGATATATTATTATTTATTTTTTTACATGTAAATATTTATTATTTATTATCTCAGTGATAAATATTATTGATTTATCTCTTTAATAAATATTTATTATTTATTTTTTTCCTTACGTGATATAATGTAAATTTGGTTACTAGATTTTTAAATTCAATTATTTAAAGGAAAAGACCACGACCAAATTTTTTGGTTACATTTTATTTTAACTTTTATATAATCACAATCCTAACAAACTAAGTAGTATAATATTTTTTTACCCATTTTTATATAATCGAATTTCTTAAAATATAATTAATATAACATTTTAACTATTTAATCATTTGTATAACTTGATTTAACTCATTATCAAACTTGCCAATTTTTTTTGAAATTAAAAAAAATTTGGAAGATTTATATTTGTAAAATAATAAAAAATAGCTTTACTTTAAAGTCTGGATTATTTCCATTATTTTTTGTACGTTAACAATCATATATTTTGGATTAACCGTAAGGTTTAATAATATCCCTTAAATAAAAAAATATTGTATAAAGAGAAGTATTTAATAATATATATTTTTCATTGATTGTATTTATTTTATTTTCATAATAGACGAGATGTGAAAAATATAAATAATTTTATTTAAAATAAAGTCTAAAAAATGTTTAAAATATGAACTCTTCCGTGCATCGCACGGGATATACAGATCGAAAAAGCAAACATGGAAATTTCCCTACTATTATATCCTCTAAAGTCTAAAACAAAAGTAAAGAAGGGTATCTTCGTAATGTGGCTCTTCCCCAAAATAAATATACCGCAAATAAATATGATGAAAGAGCGAAAGCAAATCATCCCCCATGGAAAACCCTAACTACAGCGCCGCCGCCGGTCAAACACTCCCCTCCGCACATGAAAACACCTCTATCCCTCCCCCGCCGCCGTTGCCTTCTTCTTCCGACAGCCAGATGCGGCAGGTAGCCAGAAAGGTTGCTTACCTGCCGGACTCGGTCAAGTCCGTCCTGATCACCGAGGCCGCCGCAAAACACTTTTCCATACTGTACGATCTCTGCAATCTCCACTACGGACGTTCCCCCCAAATCCCGCCGTCGTTTCCCAGCAGCCTCTCCCAGCCGCCCCGCTGCTATCTGCCCGATCCGGTGGCGGAGCTTTTAGATATGGTGGCCCGTGAAGAGAGTAGGAAAATCTACGTCCACATTCTGAGTGGTGAGACGAGTATGAACGACGTGAACGGCGTCGTTTGGGAGTTGGGGGCCGTTGAGAAGATTGAATTTCGATGGTCTACCACTCTGGCTACGGTGACATTTTGCGATCCCGAGGCGGCGAGACGAGCCCTCGAAATGCCTGTAGAGGTTATGAACCGGCACCAACTCAGATGGCACTCGGTCAGAACGGGTTGCCCTATCTGCGAAGGGCGGGCAGGTTTCTCATCGTATTTGATATGATTAGTTAGAGATTGGACAAACTAGTTGGTCTTGTACCTATCATCTTCATGTTTGATCCCTTAGTATGTGTTTCTAATTCTTACTTCTTTAGATACATCATTATATTTTCTCGGTTTAATTGCAAAATATATCCACTATCTTGTATGCGGTGCCAATATTAGCCAGCATCTTTACAAATTGGCAATATAGCCAACAACTTTCAAAATTTTGGGGTTGTCGATGGCTGTTGTTGCCTACTCACTATATGTTGCAATTTGTTGTCGAATTTGGTTGGATTTGGGTAATAATCTCGAAATTTGAAAGTTGTTGGCTAATATTGCCAATTCGTAAAGATGGTGGCTATTATTGCCACTTGTAAATTTAGCCTATTTTCTATTATAAAATGAGCTGTTAATTTCTCAGTCAAGAACAACATTGCTAGCATTCATGAACTTAGGCACTTGTATGCTAGAACACAATTCTGTTAATTTCTTTCTGGAACAGTTATATTTTTTGGGGTATTGAGTTCATCACCTTAAAGGTAAAAGAAACACGCATCTTTTCCTCCTTTTCATGTTACAACTTACATAAACTAACTAACTAACTGACTATCACCAGCCACACTTAGCAGCAGCCACACAAACAAAACATCACAAATCTCACCAAAATTGAGCCACCCTCTAAAAAAAAAAGTCAAATCTTGCTCCTCATCCTTACCCGCTTGGCCAGTGTCTCCTGAGCCCCTAGCGTCTGCCCATGATTATGCCCAAGCATCACCGTTCTTATGCTAAAGCACGTCCGGCAGAGCTCCTCACACACAGCAACCTAAATCCGTCCCAGAGCACTTGTTAAGTAGTCACTAATCATGGTGCTTTTTTTTCTCCTCACCTTTTGAGGGCTTTAGACTTGTTAAGGTGTGAATAATTGTGTAGTGTGTGATTTGATTTCTAAGGTTGTTATTCTATGTGTGTCATATCATCGAAGGATTCTTGTTGTAAGAATGAAATAAAATGACGCAGTTCCGCTTTCTCGGCCCGAGAAATGTTTAATCAGGAATTAAGGTTGAATAAAACAAAACAAGAGGTGGGAATTATTTTGTTCTTGGAATCAAATGTGATTATCGCCGGATCAAAATTTATTGCTATTTTAGAAGTTAAAGTTTGATTAATTTGATTACTGATGGTACAAATTTGCTATTGAACCATCAGAAGACATGATTGATGGGGCCATTTACAAATTGTTTATATTGATATGTAATACTTTGTAAATCGATGATTATAAGTATGACTATTACAAATGATATATTGGTATGTAATACTTAAATCGCTGATTATAAAAAACTCTCATTTGTTTTAAAAGAATTCTCCTAATTGATGGTTGTCTTTACCAAGATCTAATTCATACAGTATAAAATATAGAGCTGTTAATACGAAACGAGTGCTCATGAGCTCGACTCATTTGATAATTGAGCCGAACTCGAGTTTGTTAAAAGCTCATTTTGTTAACAAGTTGGGATCTACTCGTTAACTCGAATATAAGAATTTTCATATAACTTTGTATAATTTTACTTGTTAAAGCTCGAAAATAAGAATATGTATATAGTTTTTTTATAGTTTGACTCGTCAAAGTTCGAACTTGATCATTCACTCTTTAGAACACTAGTTATATATAATAACAAAAACAATATGTATGGGCATATCAAATATCAAATATCAAAAACATCATGTATGAGCATATCAAATATCACTGACTCTTTACAATACATTACTATCAAATATCATTTTCTAATAAAAGCAACTAATGACAAGTAAATAGAGCTTAAGTATGTCGCCACTAAATATCATTTTCTAATAAAAACAACTAATGACAAGTAAATAGAGCTTAAGTATGTCGTCACTAAAGATCAACTAGCAGATATGTTCACGAAGGCGCTACCGAGACCAAGATTTTAAACATTGCATGACAAACTAAGAATTATACAAATGGGCATGATGGAGTGTGGAAACTAATGCTCATTCTAGAAATTCTAGAATTTAATAGAACAACCTAGAAGTTGGTTTGTCAAAGACGGTGAAATAAGACGGCAGGAGGAAAAAATGATGTGCTCTAGAATTTTCCGTACATGCTATATATATGTGTGTGCATCCGAGGTAGAATAGATGAAGAACTTGAAAGAAAAACAATCAACATCAACAGTTCACTTTACTATTATGAAAAATAGATAAAAGAAAAAATTCATTTAGACTTAGTATTTGATTTAGACTTAGTATCAGTTCTGGGAATAGTTCGAATACTTCTGAAAAAGTCTCCCCATATCCGCTTTAGGTATTGGCAAAGTAAAGAAGAACCAGCGGCATATACGTTTTGAATTAATTCCATTTCCTTGAGAGATGAAAAAGCACGATTTCTGGTTCTATACATTTTCCTTTTCTCAACAAGCCTCCGTTTTTTCTTTTCCCTCTTTAGATAGTAAATAATACTTTTCTCCCATTATCTTCATATATATTTGATACCAACAGCCACCTTTTGAATAACATGCAAAACCTATGTCAAATGGTACAAAAACTCGTTTCCCCACATTCGAAATCGTAAAATGAGGCACAACTAGCACGACCTTGCCCGACCAAGCACCATATGCAATTGTGTTTCCCCAATTTGGATTGGATCGAGTGCACATTAGAATCGTAAGATGAGGCAGTTTAGCCCGATTAGGCACGCAATTTTGTCCTGTGAAAAATATCCATCCATCTTTCTCTGTGTTCTTTTGAACTCTTGCTATCCCATTTAGATTGTGCAAGTAATAGTGTAATGCATTTCAATCAGAAGATTACAAATTGTCATGACACAAATTACAAAATATAATTTCCCCACATCTTTCAAAACTTTAATAATAATGCTGTTCAAATTAGAACCAAAGCCTGCTAAAAGAAATATGGCAATGAATATTTTACACTTCCCAAATTGACAAACATATATACATATTTTCCCCACATTTTTCAAAACTGTAATAATAATGCTGTTCAAATTAGAACCAAAATATGGCAATGAATGTTTTACACTTCCCAAATTGACAAATATATTTCTTATGTAAGTAGAAACACAAAAATGAAAAATAAAAGGTAGACAAAGATCCAAGATACAATTAAAATCAAGAGAGCCATATTATTCATGAGCCAAAGTGCTTGCAGTGAATTAACTAAAAAATTATAATAACATAAAAGATTGGAGTCTGATGACTAGATCCATACCGCCCGGCAGGCGGCACAATTGGCAGTGTAGGCATGCCATTGGAGCTGAAGGTCTTCCACATCCTCAGCCGGCGTCTCGAGGACCCATGTTGCCGAACTAGGATTAACAAACGAGACCAAAGCAATGACGTAATCCGGCTGGAACCACCACTGAAAGATGGCGTCATCAATGTCCCCGAATTCCTTAAGCACACGAAACAGCTTAACCGGTGTGGTGGGCTCACAGATCCGGATGTGGACGCAGATTTTCCTGCTTTCGTCCCTGACCACCTTCGTAAGTAGCTCCTCCCGCACGACGGCGTGATGCGATGCGGCTTTCATAATCAGTTTGACCTTGTCCGACTCCGACAAGTTTGCGACCATCGATTGGATCAACTGCCTATGGCTGCTGTCCAAACTCCGCCGGGCAGCGGCGGGTGATGGGAAGGCCGACGACGGATCGACCGGCTGAGGAAAGCCGCAGGGCGGCGGCGGCGGAGCGGGATCCGATAGATGCGCCGTGTCGGTGACGGGTGGAAAAGCGGCGCCGTCGTTGTTAGGGTTTTCCATGGATTTTATTCGGTCGTGCAAAGATGGGGTTATGAGATAGGTAAATTGATTAATAAGGAGACAAAATCAACTATTATGAAAAGATAACAAAATTACCATTCTGTGGATGTAGGATTGTTGTTTTTCCAACCTCTTCTGCTTATGCATACCGCGAATCCCGACCACACAAAATATTTCTATAAATAAAAGATATTCATTATCTTTTAATCTTTTAATTTCAGAAAAATTGATATAGTTTTGGCCTTTTGGGGAGAAAATTCCATTATTTTTTTTTCCATAACTTAAAAATTCAAAAAGAGTACATATCGAAGTGCTATCTGACACTACTGCAACTAAAAAAACTGGACCAATCCCCCTTGGATTCACTCACGTGGGAGGAAATTCTATTAGAGGGCTCAATTTTTAGGTATTCTATCATGTTAAACATCCAATTAATATCTTTTTCAATACAAGATCTCAATTTTGATATATTCTCAATGGAGGGCTCATATTTATCTTTAAATTCTTAAATCAAGGCTTATTATTAACTTTGTTAATTAACAGTAATTAAATATGATATTATTTTTTAAAAAAATAAGAAGCGCATACGAGTGTTTTTATTACTCCGAAAACCTCCGTCCTCTCAATTTCAATCACGGTATTCTTAAAACATCCGATTGCAAGCAAAATGAAGGATTAGGTCACATAAATTGTATAAGGCATGAACTTCATATTGCAATTTCTATTTTATTGTTTTTAACATTTTGCAATTTTTAACTTTAATTTGTCTTGATGGACAACAATAAACTCATGATTTCGTGTCGGTGGCCGAGCTGATGCCCAGTAGAGCCTGCAGGCTCATATGCTCCGCAGGGGAGGAAGAGCAGGCCTGTTGTGGGAGCTTCCCACGATTGCCTGGCCCAACGGGATTGACTCGATGCTGGTGTAGTCGGCGGGTGCTGAGATTAATCAACGACGAGCAGGCCCTGCTATGGGAGTTGCCCACGGTTGTTGGGCTCAATGAGATTGACTCGCTGGTGTACTCGGCTCGTGTCGAGATTAATCAGCTGCAGTGGTCGGCGACCCAGCCCGATTGGATCGCGATTGCATTTGGGAAAAAGGTGCAGATGCTCTAGGTTTGGGGTGTAATGCTTTTGCAGGGTGTGGTGTTGTTCCACTTTTTGGATGATGGGAGTGTATATGAAGTTGAGACTTGCTATATATCTTGTTGATTGTCCCTTGAATTCTGACTGTGTGTTGTAAGATTATTTTGTACTTGGACCTAAAGGTTACATGTTTTCATTTCTTTGTGAGCTGGTATTATTATCTTTTTACTTTATTTATTTTCCTATAAGATAATGTTCGATAATAGCGCATTTTGTTGGTGAACATGATGCTCGGTTGGTTTTCGACATTTTCTTCAGTTTACTACATCTTTGTTACTTGTTAGAGTTGGCACGACATGCATGCTGATTCTGGTTTAGTGATATGAAAATGAAGCATGTTGATGTTCTCATAAATGCTAGAAGTGATATATACAGGCTTTGGTATTGACGATTATCTTGTGACATGTTGTGACATGAAAGTTATAGCAACTCAAATTTGTGGTGCAAAAGCTTTTGTATTGATACTTAGTTCTCCTTACTTTATTGCTGAAGTTTTAATGGTTTTTACAAGTGATGCCATGAAAGAATAACAGTTGGTATAGTATGGGTTGAGTCGAACATAAATTTTTGCTCGATTAATAGATGAATAAACCCGGGCAATGTACGACTATAATAAAAAAATAAAAGTGCAACGCATTTTCTCATAATTACGATTACCAGAGATTCCAACAAATATCAGAATTGTATAATCTATAGCGTATAGATCGACCTAACAGAAAGTTGGCTCAAATTCTTTCTTTAAGTTTTTTCTCAAGTGTTTTCTCAATCAAACTGATACTAGGGAAATTTCCAGTCACTCGTCTAAAAAATCGGCACTTGCAATAAACTAAAAAAAATTATGCAGTTTGCTGGTTATGCTTACCAAAGCCGGAACAAATTATGTAAATAGAGGATAAGGTCATAACTGTAATTTACACAATGTGATAACATCATCATGATCTAAACAATATCCCCCAAAAATCTGTGGAGTTAACCACACAGACATATAAAATAAGTAAAAAAAACATAACATTTTCCGCTCAAAATTACTCTCAAATTCAATCATCCAAGGCTCATGAACATGACCTAAAACTATGATATTATCTGACGTCCAATTTGACATAATTTCGTCCATTTTCTTGCTATATAAAAGCTAAGTTATTTGGAGGATTAGGGTAATTATTAGGAACATCAACTCCCACATGGCCTGCTCCTCGTCAATTAATCTTGGCACCCGCCAACTACACCAGCATCGAGTCAATCCCGTTGGGCCGGACAACCGTGAGAAGCTCCCACAACAGGGCCTGCTCGTCGTCCCCTGCTGATCATATGAGCTTGCAGGCTCTACTGGGCCCACGAGATGGCATTCATGCTGGCCGTGTTCCTCATCAGCTCGGTCACCGATACGAAATCACGAGTTTATTGTTGTCCATCAAAGACAAATTAAAGTTAAAAATTGCAAAAACATTAAAAAAAAATAGAAATTGCGAGATGAAGTTCATACCTTATACAATTTGAAGTTCAACAGATCGCTCATTCTGATTTCCAGAAGGATTTACGTGAGCTAATCCATCCTTTGCTTGCAATCGGATGTTTTAAGAGTACCGCAATTGAAATTGAGAGGACGGAGGTTCTGGGAGTAACAAAAATACTCGTATGCGCATTCTTTTTTAAAATATAATATCACATCTAATTTAACTGTTAGTTAACAGAGTTAACAATAAGCCTTAATTTAAGAATTAAAAAATAAATTTGAGCCCTCCATTGAGAATATATAAAAATTGAGATCTTGTTGTAAGGACTTCTATATAGCTGTTGAGTTTATGTTATCTTCCTCTGCTTCTCAATGGGGAATTTTTGTATATCTTAACCCCATTAAAAGTTTCATATTTGATCAATGGGAAAGACTACTCAGTTAAAAGCACTCTTGGGGTAACAGCTGGTTTGCCATAGGGGACTGGAACGGCATTCTCTCAATTGGTGACAAACTAGGGGGCAATCTCAGACCTCCAAATTCTTTCATAGGCTTTACAAGTTTTATCAGAAGCATGTCAATGGAGGAGATCAAAATGCTAGGACCCCCTTTTACATGGAGCAACAACAGAGCATTCCCCGACTTGGTTGAAGAAAAATTGGATAGAGCCTTTGGCTCTCTAGATTGGAACCAGCAATACCCAAATGCAACTGTCACCAACCTGATAAGAAGTGCTTCTGACCACTCTGCCTTGGTTCTTAATTTGGGATTGCCTCGAGAAAGGATAAATACTGCTTTCCATTTTGATAAAAGATGGTTGACAAGGGATGAATGTGGAGAAGTAGTCCAGCATGCATGGCTTTCTAAGGTACATGGCACTCCCCTTTTCCAACTAAAAGAGAAAGTCAAGATCACAAGAATAGCTCTGCTCAAATGGAGCTCCTCTTTCCACTCTGAAGGGCAGAAAACCATTGCTGCTCTTAATCCAAAGCTGGAGTCTTTGAATCAGAACAAGTCAGCCATCAATTGGGAGGAATAGGAGTCTACCAAAAGGTCACTGAATCAGGCTCACAGGCTAGAAGAGTTATACTGGCAGCAAAAAGCCAAATCTAAATGGCTTAAGGAGAGGGATGCAAACACCAGATTCTTTCACACTCTTACCATGCAGAAAAGGAGATACAATGCTATAACCAGACCGACTTCCCAACAAGACCACACTTTCACCACTCAAAGGGGCATTGAGAAGCATGCTGAAGAGTTCTACTCAAACTTATTCTCCTTTGAAGGCTGTTGGGGTGGTGAATCCATCCTTCCCCTCATTCCCTCTTCTATAACTTCTGATATGAACGAAGATTTGCTCAAACCTGTTGATGAAGAAGGTCAAAAACTCATTATTCAGCCTACATCCTGATAAATCTCCAGGAGAAGATGGGATGACAGCAGCATTCTACCAGCACTTCTGGCCACTGATCAAGCAAGACATATTGGCAGTACTTGCAAGCTTCTTCCACTCAGGTATGATTCTCAAATACTGGAATCACACAGTGATCTCTCTAATTCCAAAATGCCCAACTCCTGAAACTTTGGGGCAGTTCAAACCCATAAGTCTATGTTGTGTTGTTTACAAATTGACATCCAAGATTCTGACAATAAGACTTAAGAATTGCTTAACAAGTTGCATTAGTACATACCAAGTTGCTTTTGTGGAGGGCAGGCAACTAGTTGATAATGTGATAATTGCCCAAGAAGCTTTTCATTTTTTAAATAGACACACATCTGGCCCTAATTTTTTCATGGCTCTCAAATTGGATTTGATTAAAGCTTTTGATCGTGTGGAATGGTTATGTTTAAAAAAAATAATGCTGCAAATGGGTTTTCATATGGATTTTGTGAAGCTGATCTTCATTTGTGTCTCTTCTGACACTTTCTCTTTCAAAATCAATGGTTCACTCAGTGGCTATGTATCTCCTTCAAGAGGCATTAGGCAAGGGGATGCATTGTCCCCTTACCTTTTCATAATTGTTGCTGAGCTATTACCTGCCTTGATTATGAACTCTGTGAATAATGGACTGCTCAAAGGAATGAAAATCTCTAGGAATGGCCCCTTGCTTTCTCATCTTTTATTTGCAGATGATTCACTCTTCTTCTGTAAGGCTGGAAATGACCAAGCAACTATTCTCATGAGTATCCTTGAACACTATAGGCTCTTCACAGGTCAAGCAGTTAATCTGAACAAGTCAGCCATCTTCTTTAGCAAGAACACCCCTCAGAACCTTTAGTGTAATGCCCCGCCTTAACTTAATTATCAGAGTACGTTTTTAAGATGTCTTTTAAAAATAGTTTAGAAATATGATTCGGAGCGTTACTAAAATATTTATTTTATCTTTAAAATCCATTGCGATCGTTTAAAATTTACAAAAAAAATGGATTAACATAATATACAATCCGACTATGAAATCGGATCAAAAGTATAAGTTTGACAAACAGTGAAATCAGCGGAACATAGCGTGGCAAAACAAGACAATAAAATATTTAACTTCGATCCATCCGTCAAACTCACAGCTCCGGACCGACTTCATGACCTGAAAAATTTAATAAAAATGGGGCGTGAGTACCACTGTACTCCGTAGGAACTCATACTAAAGTAATCAGCAATAATAATAGTAACATCATGATCAGAAGCATGTAACATAACCGTGAATTTCCTGGTCAACAGTATAAACTGGACCGGGATCCGTGAATCTACCAGCTGCCATGATAATAATGATAATGATAATAATAATTTTGCCGGAATTCATGTGCACATACTAGTGGTAGATGATGCCACTAGAACTTAGAACGGAATTATGGCAACCTGAACCGGCCAACATCCATTCCAAGCGGAAAAACATAATTGACATACCTTGAACATGATATCGTATTTATAATCAATGTAATACCCAGTCTGAGTCCCCACCTGTACTGAAGATATGAAACTGGAAGTGCTGATAGTCGTGAGCTGATCAAACCTTTTATTGCCCGAAGAAAGTTGACAAGATTTCGATGATAGTTCGGTCCTTTCTCCTTCCTTGCGCGCGTACGGTAAGTTGGTTTAATATATCTTAATCTTGCTTAAAGTTTGCTTAGGAAATAACTTAGATTATAAGATGAAAATATGTCCAAACTCTTAATTTATAAACGGTAAAAATGAAGTGAGGATGAGGTAAAAGCTCACGGCCAATGGGCTCGTGCCATTTGCCGCGACCTTAGGGCCTTAGGTGTATTATTTGTGGCCTAGTCACCATACACTTGGCGTAAGAAAGCCACTTGTGCAAAGGATGATAGACATTCACGTGACTTGCCCAAAATTTCCTTCCACTTGAGTTCGTTAGTACCTAATCACGTTTAGGGCTTGATTAGCGTGATTAAGAAAAGCTCGTTCCCCAACTTCAAATTGAATATCGCGTCTGTGCTGATCGGCTGACGATTTCTGCCGACTCTGAGCTGCCCGAAGTCTTCGTCTGATCAACTCTACATCTGCCGCCGTTTCCGCGATCCTGTTTGGACCAAGTATTCGGCGTTCACCGACGTCGTCCCAATAAAGAAGGGAACGACATTTACGACCCTATAGTGCTTCGTAAGGAGCCATTTGAATAGAAGAATGATAACTGTTATTATAAGCAAATTCACATAATGGTAATAACGACTCCCACTTAGCACCCCTGTCAACAACCAAAGATCGCAACATATCTTCCAGTGTTTGAATAGTCCGCTCGGATTGTCCATCAGTCTCTGGATGATAAGCGGAACTAAACTCTAATCTCGTGCCCATCGCCTTGTGCAAACATTCCCAAAATCTACTAGTGAATCTGGGATCCCTGTCTGACACGATAGTAACAGGCACTCCGTGGAGTCGAATAACTCCCTCGGTATAAATCTCAGCTAACTTGTCCAAAGACATATTCATCGAGACTGGCATGAAATGAGCAACCTTAGTCAATCTGTCCACCACAACCCAGATAGCATCGTGATGTTTAGATGACTTCGGTAACCCTGTGACAAAATCCATCGTGACTTCCTCCCACTTCCACTTCGGAATTTCGAGTGGTTGCAGAAGGCCTAAGGGACTCTTGTGTTCTGCTTTGACTTGTTGACAGGTTAAACATTTCCTTACAAAGTCGGCAACGTCCTTCTTCATTCCACGCCACCAGAACGATATCTTCAGGTCATGATACATCTTCGTACTTCCCGGATGAGCTAAATAAGGTGCGGTATGAGCTTCAGAAAAAATTTCCTTCTGCAACGCTTCGACTTTCGGCACCACGATTCTGCCACAAAATTCTAAGGCTCCATCTGAACCCAAATGGAAACCTTCGACACCTCCGGCACGGACTTTAGCATTAATAACATGAATAAATTGATCAGACATTTGTTCCCGCCGGATTCTCTCCCTTAACGTTGGTTGAACCTGTATAGCACTAACACTCCCGATAGTCACTGTAGGAAGTGCATCAACAATCTGAATTTGCATCCGGGCGAATTCTTGGATAAGATGGTTCTGCTGAGTAACAATGTAAGTTAAATCAACCCTTCACCTTGCGGCTTAGGGCATCAGCAACAACGTTCGCTTTCCCCGGATGATACTGAATGGTACAATCATAATCTTTCACAAGTTCTAACCAACGCCGCTGTCGCATGTTGAGCTCTTTCTGAGTAAAAATATATTGCAGGCTCTTATGATCAGTGAAAATCTCACATTTGCCGCCATACAGATAATGTCGCCAAATCTTGAGGGCATGTACCACTGCTGCAAGTTCCAAGTCGTGTGTAGGATAATTCTGTTCATGCGGCTTTAATTGACGAGAGGCATAAGCAACGACTTGGCCATCCTGCATTAGAACACATCCCAAACCCTGTCTCGAGGCATCACTGTAAATGGTGAAACCCCGAGTAGAATCCGGTATAATTAATACGGGTGCAGTGGTCAATCTCCTCTTGAGCTCCTGAAAACTGAACTCACAACGATCGGTCCATTTGAACGTGACAGACTTCCTCGTCAATTGGGATAATGGGAGGGCAATTTTGGAAAATCCCTCAATAAACCTGCGATAGTAACCCGCCAAATCGAGAAAACTACGAACCTCGGATGGATTCTTGGGTCTGGACCAATTTTGAATAGCAGATATCTTGGATGGATCAACCTCAATACCTGCCTGCGTGATAACATGACCAAGGAAAGTAACTCGCTCGAGCCAGAATTCGCATTTGGAGAATTTTGCATATAACTTTTCTCGCCTAAGGGTTTCAAGAACAACCCTCAAGTGCTCCTCGTGTTCCTTTTGGCTCTTCGAGTAGATCAAAATATCATCAATAAAAACAATAACAAACTGATCAAGATAAGGGTGGAATATACGGTTCATCAAGTCCATGAATACTGCCGGGGCATTACTGAGCCCAAACGGCAATACTACGAACTCATAGTGACCGTAACGCGTACGAAATGCAGTTTTTGGAATATCTGAATCTTTGATTCTCAGCTGGTGGTAGACTGAACGGAGATCAATCTTAGAAAATACACAAGCTCCCCTCAGCTGATCAAATAAATCATCGATTCTGGGAAGCGGATATTTATTCTTGATAGTTAATCGGTTAAGATCCCGGTAATCAATACACATGCGCATAGATCCATCCTTCTTCTTGACCAAGAGAACGGGTGTTCCCTAAGGTGAGACACTCGGCCGAATGAAACCGAGTTTAAGTAATTCCTGAATTTGAGTCTTTAATTCATGTAGCTCCTTTGGCGCCATGCGGTATAGTGCTTTGGACACAGGACCGGCCCCTGGAATAAGATCAATAGAGAACTCTACCTGCCGGTTAGGTGGTCCTCCTGGAAGTTGGTCTGAAAACACGTCCACGAACTCACGAACAATAGGAACGTCGTGAGGTGTCCGTGCTTTCGGTTCATCGCTGATAAGACTTACAAGATAACCCTGGCAATCATTACGCTGCAACATTTTTCTGGCTTTCGTCATAGAAATAACATGTGGTAAAGCACGAGTCTTGGAGCCATAAAAGGTAATAGAATCATCTCCCGGAATATAGAGAGTAATCTCCCGGTCGTCACATCGAATATCTGCATGAAAGTATGATAACCAATCCATGCCGAGAATGAAGTCAAAATCCCTCATCTCGAGAACATAAGCTTCAGTAGGCAAGACACGTCCACCGATAGAAAGGCTGAGATCGGTTGCTTTAGCATCAGTTACTATCTTTCTTCCCGAGGCTAGACTCACCTCGAGAGGATCGACAGCAGAAATAGTACGAACTCCAATGGCGTCAAGACATCGTCGTGAAATGAAAGAGTGTGTTGCACCGGTATCAAATAAAGCGAAAACAGGAACATCATTAAGTATAATCATCCCAGACATGGTACCTGGGTGTTGAGCTGCTTCCGCTTGATCGACTGCATAAACACGAGCTGGCTGTCTCCCGCGTTGCTGTTGCTGAGGCTGGTTCGGTGGCTGCTGTCTGGGCTGCTGAGGTTGTTGAGGTTGTTGTGGTTGTTGTTGCAATCGTGGACAATTAGGTCGGATGTGACCAGGCTGTCGGCAATAGTAGCAAGTGTTCTGGCCCATCAAGCAATCTCCGCGGTGAATCTTTCCACAGGTAGGGCAAGGTGGTATGGGTTGCTGCTGTCGCTGACGGTTTTCTGCGGTCATCTGGGCCTCCCCTGTTCTTCCTCTTGTTCTTGTATCGTTGTTGTTGGGGCGGCTGCGGGTTGAACATGTGGTATTGATGATGATTGAGTGGAAGAAATCGGCTGAAGACGATCATGTTTGGCTTCCCTTCGTATGCTGGCATCAACCTCCCCTGCAATGGTAACAGTACGGGCATAGGACTGAACTCCATGGCCCACGATGTTGTGACGGACTACTGGTAAAAGCCCTTCGATAAAACGTCTCGTCCTCGTTGCTTATGTAGTCATCAGATCAGGTACAAAAGCTCCGAGTCGAGTGAATTCTCTCTCATACTCATCCACTGTCCGAGTATCTTGTTTAAGCACCAAAAATTGACGCTCCATTTCTGCTTTGTAATAAGGAGGATAATATTTATCGCGAATTAACTCCTTCAACATGTCCCACGTGCATTTCTCTTTTTCTCCGGGACGCATACTCCAGTAGGCGTGCCACCAAAGTCGTGCATCACCGGTTAATTGGATTTGAGCGCATAAAACGCGATAGCGCTCGGGACAGTCCATGACCTCAAAAATCGTTTCAAGGCCCTGAACCCATTCGTCAACAGTACGGGGATCTCCCTGACCGGAAAACTTCTCTGGATGATAGTCGCGAAACTGTGCGACTACCTCAGATTGTGAAGGTTCACGATGAGCTGAACCTCTATGCGACGACATCTGAATATTGGAAAAGTTTGACATGATTAAATATAAGAACAAGATACGTTGACTGATTTATGGGACATACAAATTTCTTGACGAGTTATCAACTCTATCATGAATACTTTAGGCTATAAACCCTGAGCATGATTCGAGCACCTTAACTAGTCCATAACAGTGATTTCCATAACATAACTGAGCATAGGCATAGTAAATTGTTTATAATTTAAAACATGTATCAGCACTTACCCGGTAGTCGGTGGAGTATAAACTTGACGTGATCGAATATTTGAAAAATTTTCAACTCTTAAAACCATTCAGAGACGCAGAAACGTGCTCTGATACCAACTGTAACGCCCCGCCTTAACTTAATTATCAGAGTACGTTTTTAAGATGTCTTTTAAAAATAGTTTTGAAATATGATTCGGAGCGTTACTAAAATATTTATTTTATCTTTAAAATCCGTTACGATCGTTTAAAATTTCCAAGAAAAATGGATTAACATAATATACAATCCGACTATGAAATCAGATCAAAAGTTTAAGTTTGACAAACAGTGAAATCAGCAGAACATAGCGTGGCAAAACAAGACAATAAAATATTTAACTTCGATCCATCCGTCAAACTCACAACTCCGGACCGACTTCATGACCTGAAAAATTTGATAAAAATGGGGCGTGAGTACCACTGTACTCCGTAGGAACTCATACTAAAGTAAACAACAATAATAATAGTAACATCATGATCAGAAGCATGTAACATAACCGTGAATTTCCTGGTCAACAGTTTAAACCGGACCGGGATCCGTGAATCTACCGGCTGCCATGATAATAATGATAATGATAATAATAATTTTGCCGGAATCCATGTGCACATACTAGTGGTAGATGATGCCACTAGAACTTAGAACGGAATTATGGCAACCTGAACCGGCCAACATCCATTCCAAGCGGAAAAACATAATTGACATACCTTGAACATGATATCGTATTTATAATCAATGTAATACCCAGTCTGAGTCCCCACCTGTACTGAAGATATGAAACTGGAAGTGCTGATAGTCGTGAACTGATCAAACCTTTTATTGCCCGAAGAAAGTTGACAAGATTTCGATGATAGTTCGGTCCTTTCTCCTTCCTTGCGCGCGTACGGTAAGTTGGTTTAATATATCTTAATCTTGCTTAAAGTTTGCTTAGGAAATAACTTAGATTATAAGATGAAAATATGTCCAAACTCTTAATTTATAAACGGTAAAAATGAAGTGAGGATGAGGTAAAAGCTCACGGCCAATGGGCTCGTGCCATTTGCCGCGACCTTAGGGCCTTAGGTGTATTATTTGTGGCCTAGTCACCATACACTTGGCGTAAGAAAGCCACTTGTGCAAAGGATGATAGACATTCACGTGACTTTCCCAAAATTTCCTTCCACTTGAGTTCGTTAGTACCTAAGCACGTTTAGGGCTTGATTAGCGTGATTAACCTAGGTTAGGGCAATTAAAGGAAATCACGCACCCTTGCCGTGCCATGACTTATACTTAGGAATATATGATAATTGAATGAACACTTAAGCTTTAAATAAACATAATTGAGGTACTTAAGGAACCACTAAGTATAATTATGCGCACGATCACACATGATTAGCGCGAGATTAGCACATTTATCGCTCGATTAAGTACGATTTGATTCGATAATATTTTTATCGGGCGATTGAACATAAATTGACTTATACTTCGAATATTTAATGATCCCGAGAATAATATGAACGTTACGAAACTAAATACGTAATTTATATTAAGTGAAAATGGGCTATTACATTTAGTCTTCTATTTGCTCAACTCTGAATGGCATTGTCACCCACAAGTCAACAAGGTATCTTGGGCTTCCTCTTGGCATTGGCAAAAACAAGAGGGAAGTCTTTGATTATCTACTCCAGGATGTTAGACAAAGCTCACAGGTTGGCAGGGTAAGCTCCTCAGTTCCGCTGGTAAAGCAGTGCTCTTAAAGGTAGTAATTCAGGCACTACCAATTTTTTTCTCTGTCTTGTTTCAAGCTGCCAGCCACCCTTTGTACAAACATTGCTAAACTTTGTGCTCACTTCTGGTGGAAATCAAATTCTGAAGCTAAACAGGGCATCTTCGGGAAAAAATGGAGTTTTCTAACACTCCCAAAACAATCAGGTGGCCTTGGTTTCCATGATCTACAACTGTTTAACAAAGCTCTAATATGTAAGCAGCTGTGGAGAGTGGCCTCCAATCCAAACCTCCTTGTGAGCAGAGTTCTTAAAGATAGGTATTTTTCCCACTCTTCCATTGTGAATGCAAAAAAAATTCAAGGTGGCTCCTGGATGTGGAACAGTTGGATGGATGTCTTGCCAGTGTTTGCTAAATGGTTTAATATTGAGATCAGAAATGGACTGAACACCAGAATTGAAGACCACAATTGGGTTCCAAACCTGCCTAAGACTTCTCCTACTTTAATTCCTATTGCAAGGGGACATTTAATCTGGGTCAAGGAGTTGCTGCAGTCTAATGGCTCTCAATGGAATGAATGGCTAGTCCAACAGGTTTTTGATGAAGCAGATAGCAAAGCCATACTTGACATCGGTACACTGAATCCAGACAGAAGTGATAGATTTTATTGGGGATTGAAAAAAAAAGGAAACTTCTCAGTGTCCAGTATTTATAAGCATCTCTCTCATCAAAAATTCCTACAGGCTGATTTTCCTGAAAGCAGTAGTGCATCTAACCTCAAGAAATCAACAAAGATGAGGTTCTGGCACTTGAAGATTGCAAATAATCTTAAGTTCTTCATGTGGAAATGTCTCAGTCGCACTCTTCCAGTAGCCACAATCTCTGGAAAAAGGGACTGAGCATAGACACTACTTGTGCAGTCTGTGGTGAAGACCAAGAAACTCTGCAACATCTCTTTTTCTCCTACACAAGAGCTGTGAATGTTTAGAAATTGTGTCCAGTTCAGTGGAATGACCTTAGCAGAAGGGATATCTCTCTCAATGACTGGTGATATAGAGTCTGCTCTCTTGGCCATTCTGAGGTTGCTGAAGCACGAATTCAACTCTCCACATACATGCTTTGGTGGCTTTGGAAGTCCAGAAACTTATGGATCTTCCAAAAGACTTTCATTCCAAAACATGTCTTGGTTAGAATGGCTCACTCAGACTGGCTTCAATTCTAAGCTGCTGCCTCTTAGTTTTGTTTTTAGTTGGGTCTGTTTTCTGTTTTATTTTGCTTGGCATTTTGTTTAGGAGAGTGTAACTCGTTGCTAGGATATTTAGCAGTGGTGAGGGTTACTTTCTTTATTTTTCTTTAGTTGGTGTTTGAGTTGTTATGTCCTTTAGTCGAGGCTTTAGACCGTCTGTTGACGTGTCTCTCATGTTTCTCCTTTAGTGTTGTATCTCGGTTGTATCCGAACATTGTTCACTTTTGAGTTTTATAATAGTTGCACCTGTCGTTTCGGGAAAAAAAAAGTATTGATAAAGATATTAATTGAAGCCTTAACATGATAGAATACCTTAAAATTAAGCCCTCTAATGGAATTTTTCCATTTTTGGGGTGCAAGTGTACATGGCCACGGGTTAGCCTGACTCGCCGGTGCAAACCGAACTGGCAGACCTGCCCCAGCGGTCAACGAGCCTAGACCCGATCCCGTTGTTTGACAAGGTTGGTTCTGAGTCATTTGTATATATTTTTAAGATCCGGCGAGCCGGACCGGGCAGTGTCAAACCCGTTGGGACGGATTCGCGTGAATTTTTCCTTTTTATTTTTTTTATTTTTTTCATCCGTCTAGGCCGGGTCGGGTCATGGCCGGCTCGAAACCTACCACCCGACCATTAGCCCATGTTTAACCTGGACCGTCCATTGATTTTGACCATTAAAGATCCAACGGTCTTATTTATATTTTCTTTTTTAATGCAGGGTCGGGTCAGTTTTTGGGTTCGGGTTCGACTCGGCCCATCCGGGTCCAACGGTCGAGTGCGACGGTCATCTTTCCAAAACTGATCGTTGGATCGTTTTGACCGTTGAGATCCAACGGTCCAGATTTGATGGACCCGCTTGACCCGCGCGGGTTGACCTAGACCCGGCGGGTCCCGAATTAAAAAAAAAAACAGAAAAAAACCTAAAAAAATCTATAAATACCCCCCTCTCCAAAAACAGATTTTCACCCTCTCACAACTATACCTCTCTTCTCTTCTCATTTCTAAGTTCTTGAAGTGCTAATTGTTTAGTTTTTTTGCTCGGTTTTCTATAAATTGGTCTGAATTATATATAAATTCGGTCTCAAACTCCCGATTCTATATATCCACTCTCATTTCAGTTCCGATTTTATAAATTCTTTACACCTCTCTATTTTATAATTTTAGCATTTTTCACCTCTCTTTTTATTTTATAAAAACTATTCTAGTTATAGAAGGTTGAGTTCTCATGGCGGTAGTCATGCTGGTGTTCGACCACTACAAAAGCGTAAACATGTAGGTGAAACTTCTTCGAGTAGACCTCCATTGCCGAAGCCGAGACAAGTAGTATATCGGGACGTTCCGGGCCTTGCCAATGACGTTGATCCCGAAACGGTCCAACGCATCTTTCACTCTATTGAAAAAATCCACGAGGTATAATATGTTTATGTAATATTAAGCAAGGTCGATTAGCCTCTCAAACCCTACCCCCAAATTCTCGTCGAAGTCGCCTCTCAAATTCAAGGTCGATTAGCCTTCTTCTGTGACGGCGAACCTCTGGCTAGGGGTCGTCCTTGGCCGCTCAACCCCCCCGGACGAAGTGCGCCTCCGATGTCGCTGTAGAAGGGCTGTGATTGACGGTCTGGTTCGAGGTTATTAACGGCATCCCGGTCGATGGTGCTCTCCTTCAGGGTCGGTGTTTGGCTGGCGACGGAATTCTTCCCCTTAATCGTTGGTGGAGCTTTGATTTGTGACGGTAAGCCCCTCAACTTCGCTCTGTCGGTAAATCTTGGATTCCGCCTCTTTAGGTGGGGCTCCGCCTCTTTTGGTGGTAGGGCTCGGACCTCCGGTTGGGTCCCTTGTGGTGGTATTGGGCGGAGTGCGAGTCCTCGGAGGGGTGGAGCTCCGGTTGCTGCGGCTTTCTTAGTCGTGGTGGATGGGGTTGAGGGATAGACCCACCTTCACCCTCCCCCGTTCGGCTAGTTGTGTTAGGCGGCGTGGGAACTTGAGCTCGGCTAGTGGTGTTAGACGGGTTCGGGTGGTCTGGTGTGAGGGATGGTTGGCTCTCTTTTCGGTTGAGGACGGGTCGATTCGGGGATTGGTCCGGGCTCAATTTCAGCTACTTGTATAGGTGTTCACGCAGTTTCGGTAGTGGATTCTCTGGCTATGAATCTTTCTTGAGTCAATCGTTTGCTGATGGTTGGAACCGCTTGTATGCCGAGGAAGGGCTTTGCTGCTTATTTTGTTGTTTTAGTTTTTCTTGTTTAGTGTGGTATGTGCTTGTGTTTGTATCTGTCTTTGTGTTTTAGGTTTGGGCCGTTGGCCTCTGTGTTCCGGGGTGTCAAACTTATTACTCCTTTGGGGTCAGACATTCCGGTACGCGAGCACTACCTGCCTTGCCCTGCCTACACTCGCGACAACGCGAAGGGATCGGAGACCTCGTGAGTGTCGCACATCACATGCCCCGAGCTCACCATCCGGACTCACGACCTCGCAGAAGAGCCGGAGACCTCGCGAGTGCCACCTCTCCACTTGACTTGCGGACTCGCGACCCCGCGTGGGCGTCCGCGACCTCGCGAGTGTATGCGTTTTTCTTAGTGTGTGCACTTGATGGGACTATAAAAGCACTTAATGCTTTGTTATTTTGGACATAAGCTTCATTTTGTCTCTTTTACTTTGGAGACTTTAGGCAAGATTAGGATTTTTGCTCTTTTGTGACATTTTCCGACGAGATAATAAGCTTCATTTTGGACATTAGGGAGGTAAGTACTTCGTTGTAAGGCTTATTATCTCGATTTTGTACCTATTTTGCTATCTCGTTTGTAGACGTGAACTAGGGCTTGCTCGATTAATTGCATTTTTGCTCGTTTTAGTTAATTTTTGCTTCCGTGTTTATTGTGAACTTGCTTATTGTGCCTTGAGGTTGTTGAAGTCTAAATTGTTACAAGAAAAGTCGTGACTTTTGCATGGAGCTCAATTATTTCGTCGTAGGATGTTTGACTTTAGCATTTAGGTGCACGAATGGGGGTTCGGTTCTTTGTCGTGTCCCATTTTATTGATCTTTAGCGATCCGGTTTAGGAAGCTAGGGTTTTTAATCCTAATTACTTGTTTGGTTCATTATTGCTATTTCTTTAGTTAATTTAGTTAAAATCTACTTCCTTAGTTAATCTAATTCACAATCACCAAACTTATTGATTAGAATGTCTAGGAATTATTTTGTCTTTTTGTGTTTCGGACAACTAATTAACAAACGACGCTCCGAATAGCCTTCCTTAGAGAACGACTCGAGGTCGGGTAGCTCGGTTACCATCTACCCACACAAAATACTAATTAACAAATGGCGCCGTTGCCAGGGAAGGCAAGTAGGACGCCTAGTTTGTTATTTGGTTGTTCCTTTTTTATGTGTTTCTCTTTATTTGTGTGAACTTTGATTAATTTCCGTATTTCTCTTGATTTCTCTTATTTTTGTGGATAAATTATGTTTGTAATTTTTTTTTGTCTTGTTTCCCATTGATGTCGTTCAAGGGTATAGTGTTTGTTTGTGTTTATGCGAGGTAGACGACGAAACGCGGCCCGAGAGGAGACGCCACCGATCGATCTCTACGTTGAGCTTAATATAGACCATCCCGAACACGAGCCCGAACCGATGGGGGACCAAGGAGCACAATTGCCACCGCCACCGCCCAAAACATGAGATATTTTGCTCGACCAATTATTGGAGACAATACTTCATGCCTCGTGCTTGGAGAGGCGGCTTGGAATTATGACCTCAAGATGATCCATCTCAACCAACTTCCTTCCTTCCATGGCCTACCACAAGAGGACGTTCTCAACTTCATTCGAGAGTTTTACTCCACGGTCAATACCTTTCTTCTCCAAGGCCTAACCGAGAATCAACTCCGGATGAGGTGCTTTCCCTACACGTTAAAGGATCGAGCCACGACTTGGTTCATGACCTTACTCCCAAACTCGCTTTCCAATTGGGAAGCAGTCTATGAAAAGTTTATGGGAACGTACTATTCGCCACAAAAGACCACCGACCTTCGAACTCAAATAGCGAGCTTTAGCCAAAATCCCGGTGAAACCTTTCACTAGGCATGGGAACGGTTTAAGGGGTACCAACTCCAATGCCCGCACCATCACTTTTGCCTCGGGGTGCTAAATCAATTCTTTTACGATGGTCTTCACCAACCACTCCAATATATGGTAGACCATGCGGCCGGGGAGTCATCGGGAGTCACACGGAGGAGGAAATCTATCAACTCTACGAGATGTTGAGCGAAAATTCCCAACGGAAGAGCGTCCGGAAGAGAGCTCCAGTGCATGAGGCTACACAATTGTCCGGTTCTTCGAATGATATCGTGCTCGCCAAGCTAGCTTCATTGGAGAAGGAGCTTAAACACCTTCGACTGCGGGATACAAAGTCAACTCAAGTGGTGATGGCCGATGTATGTGGTTATTGTGGGGAAACGGGGCACGGAGGCCATGAGTGCCCAAGATACATGAAGCCGATTTATGACCCGAATCTTGTAGCGGTCCCTTTCGATGTCAATGCCGTTCAAGGGTATGCTCCCCGGGTGAAAAATGACCCCTATTCAAACACGTACAATCCCGGATGGAGGAATCACCCTAACTTCTCTTGGAGGGACCCGAAGACGAACTGTGCACCACAGCCGGCACCACCTCAAGCTTATGCTCTACCTCAAAACCGATCATTTCAACCAAAACCCGAATTCCAAGGGTACCAATCGAGGCCCGAATTTCAAGGATATCCACAAGGCGTGGAGGTTTCATTCAAAGGCAACCAATGCCACCTCCACCAGAGCCCGAGAAGAATGCTATTGGAGAGTCTTCGGAGACTCGAATCGAAAGCCTATAGAAGTGTCTTCAATCGTTGGCCTCAACCGTCTCTACGTTGCACGACACCGTTAAAGGAGTGCCTTGGATTCACGCTTCTCTCAAATGCCTCGAGGCTCAAGTGGGGCAACTCGGGACTTCGATTGGTGAAATTCAAAGGAGCACGGTGAAGGACAAACTCCCGAGCCAACCTGAGCACGTCAATGCCATCACAGTTTTGAGAAGTGGCAAGAAGGTGGATAATCATGTGGAGATGCCTAAGAAAATGAGGTAGAGGAGACTCTTGATGATGATGATGCTGAACCAAGTGAGGAAGTGGAAGTCTCGAAGGGTAAAGCCATTGTTCAAGATGGAAATGAGAAGGAGAAATTAGAGAAGGATGCCGGTGAGGCTTTGCACAAGTCGGCCACACCTTATCAATCACCGCTCCCTTTCTCGAGTCGTTTGCAAGATACGAAGAAGGAGCGTCAATTCAAAGATCTTTTTAACATGCTCTCGAAGGTGAACGTAAATCTCCCACTAATAGACGTTATAAAAAATGTACCGGCATATGTGCAATTCTTTAAGGATCTAGCATCGAAAAAGAGGAGATTCAAGGACAATGAGAAAGTGATGATTTCCGAGGTAGCCTCTACCACTATACCTCGAAAAGAGTGTGACCCGGGGGCTTTTGTTGTGAAGATCACGTTTGGGAATGGAAAAGCGATGACCGGTATGGTTGATTTGAGGGCCGGTATTAATCTTATGGCGTATTCGATTTATAAGCAATTAGGATTGCAAGGACTCAAACCGACACGGATGTGCCTACAATTAGCGGATCGAACTTTGAGGGACCTGAAGGACATTATCGAGAATGTATTGGTCAAAGTTGGGTCTATTATTGTGCCGGTTGATTTCGTGGTCCTTGACGTAAGAGATGTCCCGAATACCGGGAATGAGCACACGATTTTGCTTGGGAGGCCTTTCATGGCGACGACCAACACACTTATCGATGTCAAGGATGGACGAGTCACTCTTTCGGCTCATGGAGAGACGGTCACATTCACAATGAACAATGCACGAGAAGCTCAACCCAAAGTTGGCCAATGCTCGTTTATGGCAGACATCAACAAAGAGGTACATTCCAACTTTCATTCTAAATTTCCTAATTGCAACCGTGTTGTTGAGAAAAAGAAGGAGTTTGAGACGAGAAAGAATGTGGATGGTGATTTTGATTGGAAACTCGGGAATTTGACTAAGAAAAATGATGTTGGAGATAGAAATGATTTGAAATCGGACAAGAAAGGGGCGAAATAGAAGCCTTGGAGTAATGATGCAAAATCAAGGGGTACCCAACCGGGTTTGATGGAAGATGTGAATTTCGGGTTTTGGAAGTTCACAAAACGAAATGTGTAATTTGAGCGGGGTGATGAGTTGAGGAGGAAACCCCCGGTGCCTCCGAAAAGTAGGTGGGCGAATGTTTTCTTGGACGAGCGTGAGAAGGAATTTGGAGGACGAGAGGCTCGTCAAACCGTGCCAGATTGACTATGAATTGACGGGAAAGTCGAGCTCGAGACTTTAAACCGAGCGCTTCGTGGGAGGCAACCCACGTCTTTGCTTTTGTTTTTCTTTCTTTTTGCTTCTTTTATTTTATTTTCTTTTCTTTTCCAAAAAAAAAAGAAAAAAATTGAGTAAAATCGAGCCAGGTTGGTGCTCGTGGGTCAAGTCGAGAAGTCGGAACGAAATTCATTGAAATATGGCTAAGGAAGAGAAAGAATGGTGATCCACGAGCTCGCGGAATCGTCCGAGACCTCGCGGACAGACCACTCGCGTGCTCACAGTAGTATCCGCGCCCTCGCGACCGATCTTCGGAGTCTACCAGCCCGAGGCCGCGACGAGCTCCGCGGGGAGCGACCAGCACTCGCGATGTCACCACCCTGCGATTTTCCCTCCGCATTGTCGCGGGCTCAGCCGAGACCTCGCGCCAAGTTTCAGAGTTNACCACACACTCCGTCACCGGAAACCGAGCTCGCACCAACGAACAACTCGTTTCCGCTCTCCGGCGACCCACAGCGCCGGCAACCCACCATCGACGGCGTCGCGAGCTTCTATCTCCCAACCCGAAACTCCGCCGCGACTCTCCTCCTCGCTATTGCTCCCTCCGAAGAGCTCTCATCCGGCGACGACCAGCACCGGCGACGTGTCTCCACCGCGAACTTCCACGCCATGCCGCGCTCCGGCGACCCTCGCACATCACTGTCGGCGACTCCTTGTTCCCGAACAGCACCGACAGCCGCTCTTACAACCGACCGTGACACCTATCCCGTTCACTTGGAGGCCGAGCCGTGACCCTTCAACCGGCGAGCTCTACACCGCCGACCACCACTCGACCGCCGCAGCTCCTAGTTCCGACTTCCGGTCACGATTGCGACTTCCAACCACGGCCTCTGTTCCGGTTAGTTCACTAGCACAAGGTACAATAGCTAAACTCCGATTTGTACGTTTCGATTGGAGGTGACTGGGAGTTTGGAATTGCTCTCGTTTGATTGGATGTGGTGATGATATGGAGCTGGGACATTGATTCTTATTGTTGGATACATTTGTTGAATTTGTTTGGGCTCGATTGTGCATATTGTGTTCGGTGAATATTGAGGTGATTGAACAGTGTGTTGGTTGAACGTTGCGAAGGGTGAAGATCGTGTGCTTATTGTTGTTTCGGGGAGTGGTGTGTCGTTTAATTGTTCGGAGTGAAATTTTATTGCTAAAATGCCGCCTAAGAAGAGGGCGAAGCAAGCGGCAAGTACAAGGTGGGATAAAGAGGTAATAGTCGGAGCTTCGGCACCCGAAGAAGTGGCTCATCCTTCGATTGAGGTATTTTATGGATTCTCGGGCTGTGGGCCCCAGCTCTCTTATGGATTTTCGTGCTGAAGATCCCGCCTCTTCCTCTATTCCTCCCGACGACACACCAATGGACACACGGTGATTCATCACCGTGTCGAGTATGCTTTTCTTTTCCTTATTTTTCTTTTTCTCTTTGTTTTCTTTTTCAGTGTCTATGTGTTTATGTGTTTCGTTTTCTATTCTCTTCATGTTACGTGACTTCGTGTTTTGTATATTTTGGATCCTTAGTCTTTTATATTATTTTGTTGCTCTTTCGCATGATTCTTGTATGGTTACTTGCTCTTCTCTTGTGCTTGTATGGGTATGCAATGAGGACATTGTTTTGCTTTAAGTGTGGGGAGGATGTTTTTGTTAATTATGCATTGATTATGTTGTGGAGCGGTCTTGTCTAGGGTTTTTCTTTTCTTTGTTCTAGTTGTGTTGTGTTCCGGTCTTTGATTTAGGTTTGTTTTGTGGTCATATCAACTCTCTCACATGAAGTTTGGAGTTTGGTCATTATGGCTAGCCCTTTGATTGAATAAACGTGTTTATTTCAGTTTGAAATGTCTTAATTTATGCCTTACAATGAGTTAAACCCCAGTTATTCTAAGTTGATTGAAGATTGGTTGATGTGGAATACATGATTGAGAATTACGGTTTTGTTTTGTCCATTGTAAATCCCGATTGATTACACTTGGAATTTGTCTTTTTTGAGGTTTCACATGTGAAAGCTCATGTTAGTAGTGTATTCTCGTTACTTGCACACCGTGATATTTGAATTGATTGGGTATTGTTGATATTCACGTTGTTGTGTTGTATATTTTACCCCTTAAAAAAATATGAAAAAAAAATGATGATATATGTGAGTTCGCGAGGCAAGTACAGACTATGCTCCTCTTGTCTCGATTCACCTGGTGGATGGAGATAATGGGTACGGGAACCGATCTAGGAGGCTCGAGGAGAACCCTCGAGAGCACACTTAGATAATCATCGTTCGGAAACCTCGTTTGGAAAAAGATAGCTCACGAAAAAAAAATATAAAAAAAATAAAAATAAAAAAATAAAAAAATAAAATGGGGGGAATTTGTTTTTTATGCTTTTGATCATGTAGCCTAGTTGTTGAGTTGGCATTATTGTCTCTTGATCTTGTTGCAAGATGTGTTTTAGAGGGACCGAGAGTATTCTTATGTGGCATGGGTAGTTATGTAAAAGAGGACTTGTGACGAGTTAATCATGTGTGGATGAACTTTGGACGTGTATTCGTTTTGTATGATTCGAAATCGTGGGGTACATATTTTCAAATTGAATATTGACTATAAGAATGCCGGGGTGAAATGAGTTTGTCATGTTTTGAGACATGATAAGTGAATGAACAAATTTATTTTCTCGAAGGGTTAGCGAGATTGTTTGCTTGAGGACAAGCAAAAAGCTAAGTGTGGGGGAGTTGTTTGTTGTGTTTTTGTGTTTATTTTTATGTGTTTTACGTGTTTAGTGGAGTCGGTTTGAGGTTGGTTTTCTCGTCTAACCGGTCCATTTTAGCTAGTTCGTGTGCTTTTATGTTTTCCGTTTTGTTTTATGTCTTTTCCATTTTGTTTTATGTTTTGGCGTACTTTCTCGTTCCGTTTTGGTGTGATTTACAGATTCATCTTAGAGGAGAGAGGAGTCGAACCAAGTCCCGAGCCATTTACGAATCAGCACCGACTTATTTTCGAGTAATTCCGAGTGTTCCTGAGCTGTTTCCGATCAAAACCGAGTATCCCGTGCCTTTGTCGATCGATGACGTGTCCCGTACCCTGTCGGATCCGCGACCTCGCGCCTCAGCCCACGCGTACGCGAGCACTACCTGCCTTGCCTGCCTACACTCGCGACCACGCGGAGGGATCGGAGACCTCGCGAGTGTCGTACATCACATGCCCCGAGCTCACCATCTGGACTCGCGACCTCGCGGGAGAGCCGGAGACCTCGCGAGTGCCACCTATCCACTTGCCTTGCGGACTCACGACCCCGCGTGGGCGTCCGCGATCTCGCGAGTGTGTTCGTTTTTCTTAGTGTGTGCACTTGATGGGACTATAAAAGCACTTAATGCTTTGTTATTTTGGACATAAGCTTCATTTTGTCTCTTTTCCTTTGGAGACTTTAGCCAAGATTAGGATTTTTGCTCTTTTGTGACATTTTCCGGCGAACTCGTTTTTATGCAAGTTTCTGTTTTTCTTCGTTATTTTTGCTCAAGCACGCATTAGGGAGGTAAGTACTTCGTTGTAAGGCTTATTATCTCGATTTTGTACCTATTTTGCTATCTCGTTTGTAGACGTGAACTAGGGCTTGCTCGATTAATTGCATGTTTGCTTGTTTTAGTTCGTTTTTGCTTCTGTGTTTATTGTGAAGTTGCTTATTGTGCCTTGAGGTTGTTGAAGTCTAAATTGTTACAAGAAAAGTCGCGACTTTTGCATGGAGCTCGATTATTTCGTCGTTAGGATGTTTGACTTTAGCATTTAGGTGCACGAATGGGGGTTCGGTTCTTTGTCATGTCCCATTTTATTGATCTTTAGCGATCCGGTTTAGGAAGCTAGGGTTTTTAATCCTAATTACTTGTTTGGTTCATTATTGCTATTTCTTTAGTTAATTTAGTTAAAATGTACTTCCTTAGTTAATCTAATTCACAATCACCCAACTTATTGATTAGAACGACTAGGAATTATTTTGTCTTTTTGTGTTTCGGACAACTAATTAACAAACGACGCTCTGAAAAGCCTTCCTTAGAGAACGACTCGAGGTCGGGTAGCTCAGTTACCATTTAACCACACAAAATACTAATTAACAGAGGTCTTTTTTAGTTGTATTAGTTTTTGTTAGTTTAGTTTCGAGTTTTTCATTCTAGCGTTGCTAGACGGTTCTAGACGATCTTAGCTGCCTCTCTGTTTTATAGTCTTTGGTTGTACTATTCAGCCTTTGGCTGCTTTCTTTTCGCACTTTGTGCGGTTTCATTAATACAATACCTCTATTGTTTCGGAAAAAAAAAAAAAAAAAATTCCACGAGACCATACAATTGAAGGAGGAGAACCAGGAGCAGCCGTACGAAGACGGCTCCAGGTGGAGGAAGTCAACAACCTCAACAGACTAGGACGACAGACGGCAGCGGCGACGAACGTCCTAATTCCGAAATATTAGCACGCTACTTCACGAAGATTCCCAATGAGAAACAAAATGACCAACATTTTCTTAATAAATATAAAATTTAAATTACAATGTGTTTGGACAAATTTAATAAACCTTTATAACTAAAAAATAGATAGAATATTTCCTTAATAAAATGTATTTCATTGAATCGCACGATTTATATACCATATTGGAAATATTATGCTTTGATTTTTTTTATTAATATTAAAACAGACACCAATGTACCTGAATCTGTTAATATAAAAAAGAACTAAAGATTTATCTTAAATAGTGAGAAGAAATTCAACCTAAAATTTGTATTTTACTAAATAGATAAACTCCCAATATTTTTATTTTTTTCGCCTTTAAAATCTTGTAAATGAATTTCAAAATTAATTCTATATTCAAAATCTGATAATAATTTATAATAATTCCAAATTTAAAATTTGAGAGTAAAATTTGCAGCCCATATGTGATTATCTATTTAGAAAGGATGTGCATCATATCTTTATGTTTAACATTCACATATTTTGATTTTGATTAATTTATAAAATCTTCTAGCCTTCAGTGATACTACATAAGAGAATCCGTGTACATAATATTTTTAAGTGAAACTTAAGGTACAGAAGAATAAGATATTTTTTCGAAAGATTTTATGAGAACTATACAATATTTATTAATCTATTATCTAACAAATTTATAAAACAAATTCAGACAATTAATTGCTTTTTTTAAATACATTAACACTTAAAATTAATTTAATGTTAATATTCTTAAGAGGTGATTAAAAAATAAAATATCATTAATATATGTTGATGTATAAAAAATGATCAACAATGTGTTCGAGCTGTATACTTAGTTGTACACTTGGTTCGGTCTGCACGAATAGAAATTCATATGGAATTCGGTACAAACTGTGGT